AAAATTTGGAATAACGCCAGACCGAAATAATTAATCAGCACGTTGTTGCGAGCGCGTAATCGCGCGACAATCTTTGTGCGAGTTCGCGCTCGTTGCTGCGGTGGCGCCAAGCTATTATAGATATATATATATATATATCGCGTTTATAATGCGCTTTACTCGTTTGATAGATACACGCGTCGTCATACATCGCGCCGGATGAATCATCGCGCGGCGGCGCACGTACCTTCACAGGCGCGTGCGCTCGCTCGCGAGAAAATCGCGCGCGTTCTCGCGTGCGAATTTGCAATTTGTTCGCGCGAGTCGACACTCGCCTCGTCTCGTCGAGAATCGAATAGCAAGTACTTAAATGTCTCGAATACCGACTTTGTGTATGCAAATCCGCTCGTAAACTCGACGCGCGCACCAAGAAAAAAAAATCGATTCGTTTTCAATTGATCGCAAACGCTTTCGTTATATAGGATCGTTTTTGATTTATCGCGCAAAATTTATAATACTCGCGCTTCTTATGTGCCTGCGTAATGTTTAAATAAAAATATATAAAAATTCAAAAAACCAAGAGCTATTTTCCAATAATAAACGCACGCAGACGAGACTTGTGTCACGCGAATGACGTCTGTTGGTCGTCCGTTTAAAAATAGTATTCAGAATGGTATTTGTCGCCAAAGGGGATGTCGCTGAGAGACACACGCACACATAGAAAAAGAGAGAGAGAGAGGAGAGTTTTTAAGTGGATCGAATGTCTCGTTTTGAGCCGGTTTTCAAAGAACGAATATTATAGGTCTCCTCCCTGCCTTCTAGCCACAGGGGCGTCGGTAAGGGCAAAGAGAACAAGAAAAAAATTTTATTCGATGCCAGACGAGACACCACCAGGGTGGACGACCGATGGTCACTGACCTTGGGCAACGTTCGCTAATGTCTGCGGGGCCATTGCCAGCGGGGCCAGCTGGGGATTTTAGAGGGGGAGAGAAAGAGAGAGACAGACAGACAGACAGAGAATAGGCACGTCCGTTCGTGTTCGCAACCGGATGTTCGCAAAAGAAAAGGGGTCCTTTCTCATACCCACTTATATATTTTATACCTACCTGCCTGCGTTCACATTCCTCGGGCTCTGTTGTGCGCAAAGTTAATTTCTCATCCACGCACGGTTTTCGCATCGCACGTTGCAAAAGGTACGTGCGCATCTTTGCTTTTTTTTTTCTTTTTTTTTTTTTTATCAGCGGAGGCTACAAAGGCCAAAATATTCGCCTTGAAATCACGCGGAAGTTTTTTTTTTTGTTTTTAATTACGATACGCGCGAAATGTGTGTAATAACACGACGGCTCTCGCGGTCAGATACTGCGTTGCGTTCGCGACTTTCGTTGATTTCGCGTGTTATCGGCGATTCTCTTCAAACGTCCGAGGTGTGGTAAGCAGTCTCTTATCATTATTCGCCTCGCTGACCTACTGACCCACTTGAAATATCGATTTTAACGTTGCACCTGAGAGAGAGAGAGAGAAAGAGAGAGAGACCGTTCGTGTCACGACCGCTTTCATTACACGGCTCTCGCGACGCGGTAAAAGCCACGTATATAAGAGGGTTCTCTCGCGATTCGAGTGTAATTTAATATAAATGCCGGGAGTATAAAATTTTTGAGCGCATTAAACGAAAATAAATTTCAACAACAAACAGAATAGAAGTGAAGTCGAAGCGAAGATGGGAGAGACTTTCTTCAAAAAAAAAGGTTAAACAGTGACGAAGCTTAACATACACACATACAATGACTTTCTAATTTTAAAACTTTGACAACGACAATTTTAATTTTAATTTACACTTCGTCTATGAAAATTCAGGAGGGATTGTTCAAATAAAGTATTCCACTGAAGATGGTTTGAATAGAATAAACCGAAACGTTTGGATTAATCACATTGATTTAAAATGATTTGCACAACATCCTGCACATAGGTTCAAACTTGCCCGAGCTAAACAAGAAAGTTTTTAAAAAAAAGGTTTTTGAAAAAAGATCTGGGCGCAGTCTCTCGGAAAATCTCGTGAAAATTTTTTCGCTCACATCTTGTCCGAACGAAAAAAACTTTGAAACCGAAGTCGAGATTGCACTTCTTCTTTCTCACAAAAAAACGAGAGTTTATTTAGTCTCGAACACTAGCCTTCGTTTCGGACGAAAATTGATGACTTCTTTCCGGGAAAATTGATGACTTCTTTGACGGGTCGGTATCTCGGGGCTAGACAGGGAAGTTTCTTGTTTTGGGTCCATTGTCCCGCTGTCTCGGTTTTGTCTAGAAAGTTCACGCGCGTGTCGAATTGCGTTACAAAGTTTCTCACGTGATTTCTCGATGAATCATACGGTGATTTTCCATATCTTTTACTTCTGGCGCGCACGAGATTTTTAAAAATCTGTTTACTTATTTATTCGAAGATTCGCAGATCGCGCGGATTGTTTCCTTATCCACACTCTTATCCGTGTATTATGTCCGGACCGAAGGTTTCAAAGCGGTTTTTTTTTTTTTTTTTTTTATCGCGAACGTTGCCCGATACGAGCGCGGTTCGTCGTCCTTACTGCTCCTTCAACCGCGCCCAATTGTCGTCTGGAAAGTTGGTAGGCTGAGGGACGACGTCTGGAACGAAGAAAGGGCGAATGGAAGAAGTCGAGGGTAGCTCTGCGTGTGTTAGTGTGGAGCAATGTGTCTCTCGTGTATTACAGAAGCACACGCGTTAGAGTGTGTGTATGCAATACTTTTGTTTCTTCTTATTTTCACTTGTTACATCTTATAGAGAGAAAGAACGAGAGAGAGAGAGAGAGAGAGATGGGACGATGCCTCGATAACTTCATCTCCGTTCTCAATGTGTTGCGGAAGATTTACAACACACCCTGTTTCACACAGCGAGTTCGCACGGCGTGTCATTTTTCTTTCCTCAAATCGCACACGAGAAATGGAATCGATTTCTCTCTGAAATCCTCGTTAGAGAGACATTTCGATGCGAACGCACGCACGCATTTCCCACATGAAAGAGAGAGAGAGAGAGAGAGAGAGCGCGCGCGGGAGCAGTAGTGACGTCACGGCGACGTCACAACGCCACCCACTCGCCAATATTGATTTCCCGTGACGTCGCTTAGGTATTCAGTTAAACGATTTTTTATTCCATTGTGCGGTGCTTATCTTGCATTTGAAATTCAGGATGAACGTGTGTGCGTGCGCGCGCGCGACGAATTACTCTTGTAACCGCGCGGTCATGCTCTTTAATAATAAACCTCTTCCATTATATGTTTCCCAGAAAAGACGGTTTCGTGTCCGAAGGACGCGATTTCAAGCGGCCGCCGCGGTACCAGGACGTTTGATCTCGGCGTCGTGTTTGTCGGCGAGCGGAACGATCGCCGACGTTGATACAAGGGCGCGCGTCGCGTTGTTGTGTTAACACAACACGGGTGCTTACACGGTTGTCCGTAGTCGAATCGAATTCTTCGAGTCTCTTTTTTGTATAGACGCGCGCAATCGATCATGACGATTCTTCGAAACAGATTGCATCAAATTACGACCGCGCGCGGGAGTCGGTCTCTCTGCCGAGGGGAGTTACGGGGGAGCACGTGTCGCGGCGAGAACAAAGTGTACGTACGTACGTATGTATGTACGTACGTCACATGAACGCACGACCTAGTAATTTATCTGGTTTGACGAGGTTTTGACGTCACACGATGCGGCGATCTTGTTCTCTCTCCTTCGTTGGACGGTGTCGTTCGAGAATGACCGTGAAAGTCGACGCTCGCCTACGAGAATCGCGTTGGTGGTCGCATTTTCTAAGGACTTTTGACGCTCGCACAGGATAGAAGAACGACGGAGGAGGAGGAGGAGACTGTTTAAAGGTCGTAAAATCAGCAGCAGACGCGAAAGAAAGAGAGAGAGAGAGAGAGAGAATACACCAACGCGCGATATATCGATATACGAATCGCGTCGTACGTACGACCGGTAAGAGGAGAGAGAGAAATCCGCGTGCAACCTTGTGCAATCCCATGCAATAGCGTGTAACCTCGCGCTGTGTGTGAATTCGCTCGGCGACTATACATCGCGACCGTAATCGCGCGATTTTTATTAACTATTAATCGAGAGAGAAGGAGGAGGAGGAGGAGGAGGAGGAGGCGCGCGCGCGCGGCGAGCACAGATATCACATCGTCGGTCACACACACGCTCAGCTCCGTGCGTTGATTCGTTTGTTATTTCGAAATTCGCCGGGAGAAAAGATCCAGAGGAGAGATCCTCGGCGAGTGCTTACGTGCCACTTGGCACACGTTGATAACGATCGGTATCGAAGTCCGCGACGGATTACGCGGCGCCAGTCGCGAAGCGTCTCTCGGTTTCGCGAGTTTTCTCGGATGACGCGCTCGGCGAGCGTCGCGCGCGCCAAACTTGAAAGCGCGATCGCGACGGAAGAACAAAGCGAGCGTGTTCTCGATAGAGCGGAAAAAAAAAAGAAAAACACGCATCGATCAATCGCGTTGTAAATGTTCAAACGAAGCGTTCGGTTGCGCGAGCAATCACGAGCGTCAGGCCGCGAAAGACGAAACATCTGTTTCGCGAAGACGCGCGCGCGAGCGCGAGAAGAGAGCGTCGTGTCGGTTTTATTGCGTCGGAGAGAGTGCGTGTATGTGTGTGTCGAGGGATCAGATGACGGGGAGAAGAAGCCGAGCGCGAAAGAGAGAGAAGGGTGTGGAAGCTGTGTTCGTCTCGACGTCGTGCTATTTTGATCCGCCACGGCGTGGGGTTCTGGCCCAGATTCGACGCGACAGTCACCGCGACGACTGCACCGCGAATTAAATCGCCCTCTGGGCCGCACCGGCTTCTCGATACACACGAGATTGTTCGATCGTTTATTATTATTATTATTTTCTCGCAACGACAGGCCGCCTGTGTGCAATCTGCTCGCGCGATAGAAGCCATCGTCTCTTCGCGCAGCTGCGAGATCACGCTCGGCGGTTCGACGGACGCGGCGTCGTCGTCGTCGTCGTCGTCGTCGTCTTGTCGTCGTCGATGCGGGTGGAGGAAACTATGCGCGACCTCGTTGCATTCTGAGCGGCGAACTTGAAGTGACTTTTTTTTTTATTCTCGTGTGCACGCGTGCGCGACTCTCTAAGATGTGACTTTCTGGACGCCGATTCGAGCTCTGATCGCGTGACCGCGCGCGCGACGCATTGGTGTTTTATCTTTTTTTTTGTTCTTTCGTTTTTAAAAGAAATTAGTAGTAGTCACTTTTGTGCCTTGAACGTTTTTCCGTGACCTTGGACTTGGAGGATTTCCCGGATTAATCGCGGAGGAGACAAAGTAAGTGGTTCGAGCTGTTGTTTCTCGAGCGTCTAGACGCTCTGCGATTGTTTCTCGCACAAACAAGAGATCAAACAATTTTGAACACGCGCGCGCCGCCTCGTCGTCGCGCGGGGGATGTTCGTTACCTACATGAGATAATCTCGTGTGAGATTTCCGATCAATCGTGAGATCGCGCGGGCTTTTCTCGCGCTGCGCGAGTTGGAAACTTTTTCGCGAAGAATTTTCTTTTTCGACGATCTTCTACGGTCAAGGAGAGAATCTATTTCCAGTTGCGTCGTTGTCTATTTCTCTCCTCGTAGGGAAGCGATTTATTAATAACGCGCAAGCGGGGGGAAAAATTAAGACTTGAAAAAAGCATTGTGATAAGCGAAGCGGCGTAGTTGAAACTTCGCCCGCCTGTCGATGATGAAGATACGTTTATAGAACGAAGGCTAATATAACACAAACGACGAGATGGGGAGAAACCCGTCAAACGGTTTCTCCTCACGTGTGCTTGTTCGAAATAAATGTGCGGTCACGCGGGTGGCCGCGCGGGGCAGATCGCTCCGGTTTTACTCGGAGATTCAGAATTGGCACGTATTTCTTTCCTCGTCGAAACGGAAAAAGCGCATCGCGCAAATACGATCGTCGACTCACGCACACGCGCCTCGTGGGAGAGACTCTCGGCCGAGACAATAGAAAAATCACCGTTGCGTCTCTCTCTTTTTATCTCTCTCGATCCGATTGTTATTTTTCCAGGTGTATTTTGCAAAATCCCAGTACAAACGCCGTCTGCTTGCACGACGCTTTGCCGGTAAGACCGGTGGCAGATAGCGATTATAGCCCGCGCGTTGTTTTACTTTCGTCAGGCCCGATTTATGGCTTTCGTTTTCTCCTCCGCGCGCAACAAACACAACCGACGCGTCACACGCGCGCGTGTCGTAAACTCGTCAATGTCGTTCGCAATTATGCAATGCGCGCGGTGCAACAAGAGATGCGAGTTGGTTTCGACACGCGCTCGTGCGTGTAACATTTTTCCGATCTTGCGTTCTGCGTATCTGCGCGACACACATTTTCATTTTATATATATATATATATATATATTTCACGTGTGATCCGAATGACGACTCGGTGTTCGATTGTGACCGGTCACAAGTCTCGCATGTGTGAACATTGACGTGATCTTGGAAAAAACGAAGAGATTATAGAGAATTCGTTCTTCTTCTCGTGAATAATAGACACGAGTAAATTTTCCGTATGTCGTTCAACCGGACGTGTCAATCCCGTCTCTTGACTCTCATGACCCGCGATTTCTCTTGTCTCGTCTCGTACGCGGGCGTACGTTCGTCATTCGCGAGTGTTATTTCACGTCGCAACTCAAGACGAGAGATACACTTTCGCCGCGTGATCCCCCGTGCGTTGTCCTCTCCCTCGTGGTGTGGAAACTTCCGTCGTGTTTCTATCGACGACGAACGGAGCGAATGATTTTTTGTCACTTTGATATATCTGTGTCAATCTTCGGCGTCTGACGTCGCGCGCGCGTATGTGTGTGTGTGTCACACCAGTGCGACGTAACTGCACGCAAATAGAATTTTGTTTACCAGACGAAATCTCGCGCGTCTCTCCTTCGTCTCTTGGTGACAAGTCCGACGATTTTCAATGACGAGGATACTCCCCCGACGGGGCACGTTCAAAGCGCAGTTGCATAGTTTCACGTCGCTCTCTTCCTCCTCTTCGCTTGCGAAATCTCTTTTCCAACGACGGTTTTAAACTGCGTCGCGGCGCCGATCGGCGCGCGCGCGCGTCCGGATCGTTTTCATATGAAGAATGAAACACATTTGCGTCGCGTCACCGAGCTGTGTTGTTTGCCGTATGAGCGATCACAAGTTTTATGTTTCTCTGTAACGTGTCACGTCACGGTAACGCTGCGTGGTTACATACACACGCCGTACGCGATTGCTTCGCTGTTTACTAACACGATTCTCTTCCCGCGTTCAGATTCAACTTGGCGGAAAAATACCGTCGACAATATACACGCGTCGACCCATTCGATATTTTTCTCCCAAGGACTTTTGTCACAAATCGATTCTGGCAACGCCTCCGGTGTTGTTTTCTTAGGCTTGTTATCTTCTGAAAAATTTTAAAGAAACAGATTAGTGGGCGGGGCCTGCGAGAAAGGAAGTTTCACAGCTAGGATAGATATTTGTTGAATTTCAATAGATATCTCTAAAAATGACCCAAAAAAGGACACAATAGATATCCCTGAGACCCATAAATGTTCTCGACGATGACGAATTCATGAGGGATTCAAAATCTAATCTGTCCTGTCCTAATCTGTTTTTTTCCCTCTTTTCTTGTATTTTCCTTTCCCTTCTCTTCTCTTTCCTTCCCTTCCCTTCCTTTCCCTTCCCTTCCCTTCTCTTTCCTTCCCTTCCCTTCCCTTCCAGTACTGTCCCTGTCTTTTCTTCTTTTCTTTTTGCAGAGAATGCAAGTCCGAACGTTAGTTGCATTTGTGGTTTGGTAATGATCGGACGGAGCTTTCGAGTTCTCTCGTTTCAATCTCCTGTCTTGTGCCATTCGGAAGAAATATCGCAAAGTCGAGGAGGTGTACATCTCGTGCGAGGAGAGCAGCGGTAAGAAGTTGAGAACTTCTCTCTACGTACGTTCTCTAACGTTCCTCGAACAAGTTCCCCGTAAAAGTCCGGTCTCGGTACGTCGTCGTGATGTCTTATGTAGGTTTGTAGGTTGACCCGAGCGCGACTTTTCGTTCTCTGAGATCTCTTGCGCACGTGTACACACACACACACAAGCGCGCGTGCACACACACGCGCACATATCTAACGGTAGTCGCCTTTGACGATGACCTCCATCCGCCGTCAAGGTCGGCCAAGTTTTTACTAAATGAGAGGGTGAGCGTATCGGTCGAACAATCGAGTGATTGTGTGACCCGGTAATAACTGCGAACGAACTCTGCGATGTACAAATGTCTGGAGAAGCAAGAAATCGCAACGCGCGGATCGGTCATTCCCTTGAACAGTGTGCTCTCGGTTGTGCGCGATCTGCTCGCGATCGTACGAAAAATCGACACACACATACACTTCAGCATTTTACATATTCATACGTTCTCGACTCCCATTTGCCTTAAGCTTCGCTGTGATAATTTATTGTATTTATAATGGATTTATAATTTATTTACAGTAGGTTTTACCGCGTGAGATCTCAACATTTCTGTAATTTAATGTGGAATGCAATTTCGCATTCGCAAATTGCAAAAAATATCCACGTGTCTCGGTTGAAATATTCTCGAGGATCCGTAGATGCGGTGCTCGCAACGCATGGCGCCGACGGCGACGTCGTCGTACATAGATTCGTCGCGTCCTTGGCGACGTTTCGCGAAGTGTGAAACACACACGCACTTCTCTCTCTCTCTCTCTCTCTCTCTTTACGTTCAGGCGCTTCTTCTCAACCTGCCAATTATTATTTTGGTTGTACTGGCGTATAACCCGCCCTTCCGAATGTCGGTCATGTGAGTTTTTCCTGTCAATCACAGTCGTTCTCGCGTAGTCGCGCGTCTCGTATCGGCATCGCGCTCGTGGTGTTACGCAAAAGCGAGCTTTCGTAAATCGGGTCTCGGCGAAAGATCGAGAGAGGGTCAGAATTGCACGCGCAGTCGAGCACACGCAAGCTTGGTGTAAGAAACAACGGACTCGGGAACAGAAGAAAAAAAAACTGTGTGCGACCTATGACACCAGCGCGCGCGTCCTCTGTTTAAAAATGATTTCATCGCGCTCTTTGACGCGACTCGTGAATGCGCGCGAGAATTAGTTTCTGCCGACGAGATTTCTTTCCGCCTCGTTGAGAAAGAAAAGAACACGAACCTCGGTGGTATCGTTTCGGTTTCGAAGTATCGAGATCGAAAAAAAAAACAAACAAACAAACAAAAACAGAGAAAAAACGAGCGACTTTATAAGTCCCGTAAACGCGTCAAAGAAAATTGGCATTTGGCGCAACTTGGCTGCAATTGTGATCGCGTCGGAAGTTTATTATTGTTGCGTGTACAATTTACGAGCGAAAATAGCACCACTACGCGTCATTTTAAAAATAATTGTTTTTTTGTTATATAAGAGGAAGAGAGAAAGAGTGTGTTTTAAAAACGTGTCCTCACTTCGCTCTTAATTCTCTGTTGCAGTTTCCTGGTGAGTGCATCCTCACATACATGGAGTTTCAGTTGGATAGCGCAGAATATTGCCAGGCTCAACACAAATAGAGAGACACGCCCTGATAATTAGACACTTAAAGGGAGAGAGCGAGAGAGTGAGAAAGAGAGAGAGAGGGAGAGAGTGGAAGGATAGAAACATCTCGGAGAAGGAAGAGGATTTAAAAAAAAAAAAAAAAAATTATCACCAGGGAAGCCAGAAAAAAAATCATCAACTAGTCATCACGCAAGACATAGAAGAATTTAATAGAAATTTATTAATTTACATTAGTAAATGCAAGCATCGTAGAGTTACTGAGCGCACCTGTCATAGGAGCACCCAGTGCCAAATAGGTACGTTTTTCTTTCTTTTGTTTTGTTTTTTTTTTGTTTTTGTATTTTTTTTTGTTTTGTTTTTAATCGTTTGAGTTAAAGGGAGAGAAGAAAAATTACTATACTCGCGCGAAAAAATTAATTTTTAGTTGTGCAAAATCTTTTACCTGTATGGCGCACTGATTTCAGGTAATCTTCCGCGAATTGTAGTCTAAAGGTCTCAAGTGGAAAGGATAAAGCGCATATCAACACCGCCTAATGTAACGTAGCCCTTACCCTTTCGGCGAAGTTCGCACCTTAACAACCCTTCCTAAGGTCTACATGTAAACCCACGGTTCTGTCCTCTGTAAAAAAATAAGGGATATTCTATTAGTTAAATGAGAAACAATCTTATAAGACTGACATTTAATGGGCTAAGTTGTCAAATCCAGCCTTTGTCGCTTCGTATAGTGTGGCATTTGCGCGAGATACTCTAAAGAGACAAATTTGCAAGATCTTTAAGAGTTAAAAACAAAAGGTAAAGAATATTAAAAACAAAAGAAAAGAAAAGAACGAAAAAAGGTGGTAGAGATAAATACAATTCACATCTCTGTGTGTGGTTAATAAGGAGATGAGCAATATGAGGGTGAAGGACATTAGACCGGCGCCCGCCGAAATTGAATACAAGAACATGAAGTTCCTCATTACTGATCGGCCGAATGATCAAACCATCCATACCTTTATTCAAGTTAGTATAATAAATAAATAAATAAATAAATAAAACTGCATGTGTCGAATCACGTTGTTTTCGTTTTTTTTTTTCAATACAATTACACTTTTTGTTTGTTTGCAAATAGGAATTGAAAAAGCACAATGTAAAGGATGTGGTGAGAGTTTGCGAACCAACGTACAAAGTCGATGAACTCAAGCAAGAAGGGATCAATGTAATAGATTTGGTGTTCGATGACGGTACATTTCCACCAAACGAGGTAAATAAGTTTTTTTCCTGCATAATTTGGACGTTGCGAAGAAAAATCGGAGGAAACTCAAACGAAGAGTACGGGGTGAGTACAATTTCATTTATTATTTGCTTCTGATTTCTAGGTGGTGGACGAATGGTTCGAGTTGCTGAAACATCGATTCCGGGAATCGCCTGACGCATGTGTGGCTGTACATTGTGTCGCGGGTCTCGGTAGAGCACCGGTTTTGGTTGCGATAGCTCTCATTGAGCTCGGACTTAAGTTCGAAGATGCTGTTGGCCTTATCAGAGAGTGAGTTGAGATTCGTTATCGCGCCCGATCTTTGCTTTTTTTTTGGTTTTTTTTGGTTTTTTTTTGTTTTTTTTTTTCGATTACACTTCTGACTCCTGTGTGAACGAGAATCGTGGTGATTTTTGTTATCTTCTCTTTTGTTTGTAGAAAAAGACGAGGCGCTATTAATGCGAAGCAGTTGACTTTTCTCGAGAAATATCGTCCCAAGTCTCGATTGAAGCTCAAAAATGGACAGAAAAACTCCTGCTGCGTCCAATAGATCAAAGAAAAAAGTTTTGAGGAAAGAGAAAACGAAAAACGATGATTAAAATACATACTGAATTGTATAAATGTGTAGGTTTTCGCGCCTGACAGCAAGTGTATTCTTACAAATCTGTTCTGAATGGCCTATCAATGGAAATGCAACCCGTGATAAAAAAAAAAAAAAAAACAAAAACAAAAAAAATTATATCAAACTGACTTTGCGAGGGACGTTCTTTAACGCTTGATTTTGTATTCTGATACGATCCCGTCGGCAAGAGAAAAAAACATTTGCTCCGAAACTGCTGGTGTTTCCTTTTATGAAAATATTTTGTATATTTATTTTTGATACTTATTCAAATACACTACACCATGATTAATACAAAAATATGATAGGAGAACTGTTATAATTGAAATACTTGCAATAAAGTACATTATTGCCATTCAGTCTCGTGATGATTGATTTGTAATTTGATGTCGTATCGAATTTTTATTATTTACGTGCGCTAAACGTACGTTATGATGTATTGCGACATTTTCTCTTGATAAAATTTTGTATGATACAATTTTAGTTGATAATTTATGTAATTGAATTTATGTAGAAAAATTTTTTAGACGTAACACATGCAGAGGATATTTAGTCGTCGTCGTCTTTATCGATCTCTGTTCTTCTCGATTTATTGGAAGTAGCAAATTGAGTTTTATATAAAATTTTTAGCGAGAGAAAGGACGATGAATAGAATTAGAGTAAAATGTAAATCGTCTTTCTTTTTTTTTTTTTTTTTCTAGAAGTTTTACATATACATTTTGAAAGATTGTTGCTAAATCTGCATTAAGTTATCGCATTACACACACTTCAAGGTAGAATATAAAATCGTTAGACTATATAGGGAAAAGAAATAATACGTTTACAAAGAGAACAACTACAGAGAGAGAGAGAGATTTCTGTATAGAAAGACAAATGTTGTAAAGAGTTGTATCTAAATCGAAAAAAGAACCACAATCTGCCTTGAATAATTAAATGTATTATTCTTAAAAAAAAAAAACAAAAAAACTTGAAGATTTTATATACACATTTTTCGTAGCGCATAATTGGAACAAGAAAAAAAAGAACGATATTTTTTTCAAAATAGTTTCTTCTATATTGATATATTTCGGGATAGTACGGTAAAGTATTATCGTTTTTATCGATGAGAAAGACATGTGGGTGTGTATGTGTATTAAACATCACAGCTACATAAAACATGACAACAATTTAATAACGAGGATGTGTCTTTTTGACATTTTTTACTTATGAAGAATGAAAGAAAAAAAAACAAAAAAAAACAGCACATATGCTGCGTTGCATTTCCAATGGCATGCCGAATTGCTGATGGATGTTCTTAACTCTTATTGGACTTGGAATTTGGCATTAATTTGAATGATATAGATAATGAGAAACTAATGTGAAGTATATAAAATCTCTCCAGAGCGCTGTATATCACGTTTATCATAGCCCAGCGACAATTTCACCAGAGAAAAAAGAAACATCTTTTTGCATATCTTTTAGTCAAAAAAAAAAAAAAAAAAAAAAAAAATAGCTTTCTCAATCTGATACAAGCATTTTTTATGTATAAAAACAAAAAAAACCACTCTCATCGTCCTCTCTTTTTTCTTTGTTTGGTGAAATCGTCGATGTCGCTATACGCCACACTAAACTGTGTTCAAAGGATAGAAAAAATTCACTCATAAAATAACGAATAATAATACTTAGAAACATTTCACGCGTGTCTGCTGATTTCATGTGAATGTACACATGATGATTGTTTTGTACGTCGTCCGTCTCTCTTTGTGTTTCCGACCTCGCCGTGTAATATTATTATAACAACACAAACGCGTTCCGGAAATGAAGAATCTGTTGCGCGATAAAACATCAGCAATCGCGAGAGTTTGATGTTTTCGTGTACTTGTTATATTCTGTCAACCAAGTTCGATTGAAAAGAACGATAGCGCGCGCGATGTTGTATTTCAGAACGCGACGACAATGATCACGTGTCATCGAGTTTGTTAATTGTGTTTAATGATTTATAGTACCACGCAGTATACCACGTATAAACGCATATATGAGACAATAGACTGCTAATCGATGAGTTACTACTTCATAATCAAACGAAAACGAAAACAAAAAAAAAACCACCTCGATTCAAAATGCGCGCGTTTCTCAAAACAAAAACTTAAACAAGTACATTCACGCGATCGCAGACTCGAAATGAAATCGAAACAAAAATCTGGTACATTTCCTCTTTTTTGTAATATTAAAAACTGCAATATTTTTTACCAGAGGATGGGACGAGGGATATCCGTAAAAAAAAGAAACAAAGCAAATGATCCAACCCTAGATGCAAAAATTGTATACATAAATTATTTTCGTCGTTTTAATCCTAGTACAATTGTGACGATTGAAGTTTAATTATTCGGACACGTTCTTTTCTTTTTATATATAAAAAGCGATGGTTTCTTCGATGCGCGCGCCGACGACGTATTAAAATCGTCGCGTAACAAAATATATAAGTATAATCTTAACAAAAGTTACCAAGTAATAATTTTTTTTTCATATTATTTAGCTTTTATTATTACATAATTTTGCACATCGATTCACTTCTTCAAGGCGCATAGTTTAAATTGCTAAATAATTCTATATAATAAATACACGATAATATTTTCTTATATATCTGTGATATGAGTTTCTTTGTGTGTGCATAAAGTAGCGTAGGCCGAGAAAACAAAGAAAAATGTAGGATAAGAACGAGGATCGTGCGAGGGTGGTCGCTGATCACAAAGCTGTGATGCTAAGAGTAATGCTTAACATTCTGTGTGTGTGTATGTGTGTAAAACGGGGAAAATGCGTTATGCACGTTACTTATTTTATTTGGAATTATAAATGTTGAAGAATTTTAGCATGTATAAAGAAAATCGTTTCACTGTGCAATAATATGCTTACTCATGTAAACAACCCACGTGTACCCAAGTGCGGAATGTTTTTTTTTTATTTCTCGAAGAAATGAATCGAACCGATGCAAAAAAAAGAAAAAGAAAGCCAACGTTACTCGAAGAAACAAATGCAATTGTAGTGAAAATAGCTCCGTCTTTTTTTTTCTTAATAGCTACTATTTAACGTCTGGATCGAAATAATGCAAACAATTTTATGTATGCATATATAAAAGGACAAATTTTGTTTTTACGTGTCTGATGTGAATATTCGACGCAAGAACAATTTAGATAGCAAAGAAAATCCTCTATATTTTGAACCGACATAATAAAATAAGAACAATCACTTCCTACAAATTGATTATGCAACAAAACAAAATAAAAGTAAACAAGTTAGCGCAATTTAAACAAGGATTTATTTTTACTGTTCACTTTCTCTAAATGTATAATTTTCCTGTACCCACATTGATATATTTACCTTCAATTAACAAACTATTTTTGTTACATTGTAAACGTGAAAATAAAAAAAAAAAAAAAAACAAACAAACAAATAAGAACGGGAATTGTTCTGTGGAAAGGAAACACTACTGTTTTATACTAATTATTATATATATATATATATTTGATCTCTCTGTAATGTATAAAAATAAAAATTTCTATCTTTATTCCAGAGAAACTGTTCCCAAATAGCTTTTTTACGAAAATGCATATAAATATATAGCAAAACAGAGAGCTGCATGTTGTGTTATCCTCCATTATATTATCACAAGAACGTATATTATACATAAATTGTTCCGTATTACACATGCAGGTGGCAATATTGGTATATAGAAACTCTATATACTTGTAGATATTAAATAATTGTTCGTACATCAGAGCATATTGTTAAATTAAAGAAACATATCATCGTATCCCGGAGGAGGCAAGTGGTCGTCGTCAGGTCTACGCCGGCGTGGTGCCATATTGTCTATATCGGGTGGCCCAAAAGGATCGAATCTCGCACCGGGTGGTACAGCACCTCTACAATGTATATACATGTAGAAATAAATTAATAAATTGAAAAACATAATTCCGTAAAACTGTCCAAATCTAGAAATAAAATTTGGGGGACATCTTGTGTACATAAGATAATGACGAAATATCAATAAAAGTGCGCAACGTACGGTGGTAATCTGCCAGGTACGCCCAAGCCACCTGGTAAGTGTGCGGGAGGCGCAGCAGGCCTGGGGAAGGGATCAAATATCATGCCACCTCCTGGTCTAAGCGGATCAAGATCTCTAAGTCCGACTCTCAAAGGATCATGCTCAGGACTGCAATAAAAAGAAAAAATTTTAATTACTTTTGACATAACGTACATTATTGCTATAAAGATATAAAAACTATAGAATTATAACCGATTGGTTTTGCCACAATTCTTTACTTATAGATTCTAAGCAAACATGAGATAACATCTTTTCTCAAAAAAGCTCTCTTTTCTTTAATCTTGAAAATTGCAACATTAAGATAAAACCAATAAAAATTCATAAAAATATCAATTGAAAAGATCAATTACAGAGGTCGGTCGTGTAATTGAGGACGAGGTAGTACCCTCAATGGGTTATCAACGATTCGATTACGTTCAGTTGTACTTGTTTGAGTTGTCACTTCCTTCGTGTCAGTTGGATTATCAATCACATCGAACGCTCTCCTTAAATTATTCAAAACGGTCTGATAAGTTGGTACGACAGTGTCTAAAGATCCATGCAGTGTGGACACAGTTTGCTCAATAGGGAACTGAATGCTTGAAACAGCATCATCTTGAATTTTCTACAAGAGAATATGAAATAACATAAAGTGAAATTTACACACACAGTCTCATTTTTAATTCAACTATTTGTTCATCTTAGATTTTCTTATCGTATCACTGTGCCGACATTACCAACAAGTTTATAAGCAGATCATCATCCGACTTGATTCCGAGAAGTACATATAATTTTCCGTTTTTCACGTAACGAAGCGAGTAACTCGGTTTTAAATTCCATTCTTTCGGAAGCAATTCAGATCCTTTCTCCAATCCCGTAAAAGTTCTCTAAACAATCACACATTTGTATTATTATAAACAATGTGTTGAACAATTACGCATTTGTGCTGTTTTTAGAGCAAAGTATACGCGACACCGCGCAACCATATCTGTAAAACGTTAAAATTCTCATTAGATTCGTTGAATCTGTCGATGTTTAGTGTCACCGATATTCTAGAAAACGCTCACACACAACGACTGATTAATGTTTTACAAAACTATTCACGCATTAAAGACACGTATTCTATACGCGCAAAATACTAAGAAAAAATAGTTTAAACCAACCGTTTCTACAAAAAACAATAAAATATAAATATATTAAGTCGCAATTGTACACAATTAACGCGATATTTACATCAGAGAACATACCTGATCTCCGAGACCGATACATTTGAAGTCGAGTTTTATTAAATACCAGTGAACGAGCAAAATCAACACGTCCTCCTTCTTAAGTAATTCATCGTGATACAAAGTTTGCAGAAGTTCAATACCAAACGTGCTAATTAAACCAGCCATTCTATCAAATCTAAATTACTTCGGCATATCACGATGCCAGGTTGCAAGTTTTAATTGCTTGCCATCGCGAAACAGTGTCGTCCTCTTCCGTTTCGAAAAGTTATTACGAGCCGGTTGTGTTCATAGAGCTTATACCATAGAGCTTAAACCATAGAGCTTATACTCATGGAGAGGCCATGCCTATTTGCTAACCATAGAGAGGACCGCGCAAAAAGGATCGAAAAAGAGAGATATATTTGGATATATTTTGTCTCAGCTGTGGTTCTTCCACTACGTGTTCTCTGTTATTCTCTTCGATAAGAAGTGGTCACAATAGAAACAAACAAATATATCTCTCTTTGTCGATCCTACTTTCGCTCCCATTGTCTCTCCATGGTCTAGTTTCCACCAAAATCTTCACTTCGGTTTCACTCCGAAAAGAATTAACTTTAATGTTCCGTTTCCATTGGAAGTAAAATACTTATAAATCGAAGCGGAAGCGACATCAGCGCAATTTGACAAATTTCCATCTACATACATTAAATTTGATTATACGTCGCATTAAGTGTAACTTACTGCTAATTACTGTAACTTACACTAATACTTCTTAATCACAACATTTACTTTACATCTACTATACTAAAAAAAACGATCATAAGGAATCATTCATACACCATTCCCACTAGCATTGCTCACACATCATGCACACGCACTTTCACTTCTTAAAGACAACATTTACTTTACATCTACTATACCAAAAAAGTTGTTCTTAAGGGCTCATTCATACACCATTCTTACTAGGGTAGCTCACACTTCACGCACACGCAATTTCACTTTTTAAGGACAACATTTAATTTACATCTACTATACCAAAATAGTTGTTCTTAAGGGCACATTCATTAACCATTCCCACTAGAGTAGCTCACACTTCATGCACACGCAATTTCACTTCTTAAGGACAACATTTAATTTACATCTACTATACCGAAAAAGTTGTTCTTAAGGGCTCATTCATACACCATTCCCACTAGGGTAGCTCACACTTCATGCACACGCAATTTCACTTCTTAAGGACAACATTT